TCCTATCTTAAAATAATTGGATCACTAAAAAAGTATCTCATTCCTATCTTAAAATAATTGGATCATTAAAAAAGTATCTCATCCTATCTTAAAATAATTGGATCACTAAAAAAGTATCTCATTCCTATCTTAAAATAATTGGATCATTAAAAAAGTATCTCATCCTATCTTAAAATAATTGGATCACTAAAAAAGTATCTCATTCCTATCTTAAAATAATTGGATCATTAAAAAAGTATCTCATCCTATCTTAAAATAATTGGATCACTAAAAAAGTATCTCATTCCTATCTTAAAATAATTGGATCATTAAAAAAGTATCTCATCCTATCTTAAAATAATTGGATCACTAAAAAAGTATCTCATTCCTATCTTAAAATAATTGGATCATTAAAAAAGTATCTCATCCTATCTTAAAATAATTGGATCACTAAAAAAGTATCTCATTCCTATCTTAAAATNGGTTGGGGGGGGGGGGGGGGGGAGAAGGTCTCAATGATGTCTTTACATGACATAAATGGCATCAACATCAAATGATTTCTTTCTCAAATATTTTATTTTTAATTATGAACAAGCCACCTGTAAAATAAAACAGCTTAATTAAAATAGCCCCCCTGTATGTTTCAGATGTGATAAGATAGGCTTTCTTTATTTGATCCAAGGAAATGGACAATTTAAAAACTATTACAATGTACATATTCATTTTCTAAACATATACAAATTTTTTTTGAAAAACTACAGCGGTTTAGACATCTAAAGGTATTTCTTGAGCGGCAAAAATCAACCTTCACATGCCGTGGTCACTCAGTGACAATGTGGACTCTAGGGCACTTATTTAGATTTTGAAAAAAAAATCAATTCGACAAATATTTTTTGAAATGTCAACCACACGGCTGGAACGTCTACCCAACTCCAGATGTCAGGACAATTTTACATATAATTTTTGGTATCTAACCATTATCATCAACAGTCTATTCTGTTTATCTTGGATTGTTGTCTTTGATCCCCAGAACAAGATAAATTAAAATAGAACTCCGTCCTTCTCAACTCTTAAATTTTTATTGGTTTCCTTTTCACCCCCCCCCCCCCCCCCCTGAAATAAGTATTGAAAATCCATTCTCCCTGATATGTGTTACTGCAAATGGGAGCATAATGATATTATTAAAAAATTTTTAAGACACCGATTTAAAATGCGAAATTGCTTTAAAATCAAAATATTTAAAAACATAGTGTTACAGCCGGTGACCCAATTTTGAGCGGCGATCCTTGAGTTTGAAACCCCTGAGATCGGTTCAGAGAACTAGAACATGTGAAAATGGTGTCAGCGTTGGAAGGTTTTAGCCAAGTCAGAAAGCCATGGAGATGACGATGTTCACAGGTAAGGCAAAGTTTGGGTAGGATGATAACAAACAGGGACAGTTGACTATGTTAGGAGGAGATGGGGGGTGGTCATGTTGTTAAAGCTGGACCTCCTTTGTCTGTGCTGGTCAGACAAGATAACAACATGTCTGAAAATTTTGACAAGCTGTTAACCTGTTTGTAAGAACAGAACTAATTTCATCAGATGACAATTTCACAAATTAAATGGCTGGCCATTTAAGTTTAATTACATGTTAGATCAATAATGAACAAATGATTAAACAATGGTATACCGTTTCCACAATGGTTCCCCAAACTGTGCTCCGTGGTGACCTAAGGGCTCTGCTTGCAATTCTCAGGGGATCCAGCAGCCACTGCAGGCAATTTTTAAAAGCTGATAACTTGTAAGACATAGTTTTAAAAAAAAAAAAGGGGGGGGGGGGGGATGCGCTCCTCCATAACTATCTCTTTAAAAAAAAAGGGCTCATTGGGTCACAAGATTGGGAACCACTGGTCTACAATATAGTTTTAGCTGTCTTCTACAGTGAATAGAAAGATGTACAGCTCTGGATAATATGGTCAGTCCCTGATTACACTTGCAGTATTGTGGGATTAAAAAGCACTTGTTAATGGTTAGGTAGGATACAGCGTCGAAACCGACAAGAAAAAAAATCAACGTCTAGCACAAAATGTCTGCATGATGGAAAGAGTAGAGGAGGGAACGAGATTTGTCCCTCCTAAGTCTGTCATGATAGCCACATGAATTGTTAAATGTGAAAAGAATTATTATATCATAACCCCCCTCAACTTGTAGTTAATAAAAAGACATGTTCACTTTCCTATCAGAAATGAGTGTGCTCAATTGAAGAAAGCATGCATAATAGGCCAATAATACATGCAAAGTATAACGATATCAGTGCTGTAAAATACATGACATTTTGTCAAGGTGTCAGGTATCAGGCAAGGGGGCTCAACACTTCCAGATGCTTGACATGAACAATGCACTTCTCTGTTAACTGTTCGACTAAAGAGTTCAAAATATCTAGTGGATTCTATTTCTAGACCCAACAACTGCAGGCGCGTCTATACAAAAAAAAATCTCTGCGCGCCCCCCTCCTAGGAAGCTGTGACTTGTTTCAACCGTGAGCTCACAAATATGATAGTTAATTAGCTCTGCAACTCAGCAACAGGCTACAAACTCACATACCAGGCAGGAATCAAAGATTTGTATCCTTTGTTCTACCATTTTACAAACTTGGGTTATTTAAAAAAATACAAACAACTATTTCAAAATAAAATAAAATAAAATTGTGTGACTCGAAGAAATTCAAAATGAAGTGCATAATAATCTATAATATCCCCACCACGAAATAAAAAAAAAAATAAAATAAAAATAAGAAACAAGTAACCCCAAGCAATTACACACCACATAAACAAAAATTAAAAAGACAGATCTGTGCTAAAAATGAAATGAAACTGGAAAAGAAAGTGCAGAAAAAAAAAATTAAAAAAAAAAAGAAATCAAAGATTAAAACAAACAACAAACCTGAAATAACATAAGAAACGTTGCACCTAAAAAAAAATAAAGTTGTCAATAGTGAAAAGACTGGCAGTGAGCTTACAGCTGAGTGCTCATTTGCAAGACCTAAAAAGCTATCAAATACAATATTTGCTGTCCAGCATTATTGCCCAATCATAATAGAAATGAACCACAGGAAAGTGGAGAGAAAGTGTCTCCTGAAATCACAACTTTTCTGTCTAGTCATGGTCTTTTTCTAGTTTTTCTTTTCACAATTCTCTTTTGGTATCATTCAAGCAGTTCCTGCATCTTCACTAAAGTAGTTCCTATGTCATCACTGGAATAGAAACCTTCACCACAACTAAAGTAGTTCCTATGTCATCACTGGAATAGAAACCTTCACCACAACTAAAGTAGTTCCTATGTCATCACTGGAATAGAAACCTTCACCACAACTAAAGTAGTTCCTATGTCATCACTAGAATAGAAACCTTCACCACCACTAAAGTAGTTCCTATATCATCACTAGAATAGAAACCTAAACCACCACTAAAGTAGTTCCTATGTCATCACTAGAATAGAAACCTTCACCACAACTAAAGTAGTTCCTATATTAGTAAAAAAAAAAAAAAACAAACATGCACAGAGGATCTAAGACTTTCCCTGACTTCACAATGTGAATGTTCAACTAGTCACTGACAAGTCACATCAGGTTTTGGTAAAAGAACGATGACCCCCCCCCCCCCGATTTAAAACTAGCAAAACCACTACTGCTAAAATTAGTAAAATGTATTGAATGCAATTGCCAATATAGAAAATTTGTTGATTTATAACAAACATCTCCGATAATACTATCTTAAATAAAGGGAAATTTTAAAAAAAATCTAATGGCTCTTTTAACTCTTTGCCTATTGTGTACCCTTACATACAAAATTCTGAAATATGGGCTTGCATGGATTGAGTGGCACTAAGAAAAATCATGGCATTCCCAGTCCAGTGAAAACCACAGTCGACAAAGAGTTAAAGGTCATCCATCAAAGTTGGACTACTCTAAAAATCAGGGGTGATAACCAGGCTTAAAGCCAATCCCCAAAAATATCAAATCAAAGAATTTAAACTTTGACATGGCCTTTAAACTATGCATATAAATGCAGTTGATTTTTAAGTAATGTGTAAATTTATGATACTGTGACAGTGATTACATACCCAGATGTTGTTTATTGTTTTTTTGAAGATTCTACTCGGGGAGTAGAATCTTAAACGGAAGGGGGGATATGTCAAGGGTATGAGAACCGGTTATTATTATGAAAAACTGATTGGGTCCATGAGTTGTACTATTGTGTCTGAATGACCATTGGATGACAGGAATAGAATAGTAAACAGGTGTGTGGATATAAGGCATAAAATGACATCACCATCACAATTATAACATTTTTTAAAACATAAATATAAGGAAAGAGCTGCACCTTTAGTTGTAATGGGAGGAATGCTGTAGTAGAATGTGACATAGATTATAAAATTACATGTTTACTTGGCAATAACTGCGGCAGGGTTAGAGATTTGTCATAAACTTTATGTGATGTCTAGTGATATTACACATGTGACAGGATTTCAAGAGTTAACAAAGTATGGAAAATTGTGATACAATAAAATAGGTCAGAACATGATTTCTTACATTTAAAAAAAAATCTAGGGTGCGTACCAAAATGTTTCCACATTCTGTAACAAATACCAGAAACGTGGTAAAAATGGTTTTAAAACATTGAAGTTACAGAAAAATATTTTAAAAAATTAAAATTATTCTGTTGACATCAGAACAAAAGATGACAGACTTCCAGCTGCCAGGTAATTGGTAACATCAGTACCAAAGATGACAGATTTCCAGATGCCAGGTCATGGTAACATCAGAACCGAAAGATGACATATTTCCAGATGCCAGGTCATAGTAACATCAGTACCAAAGATGCCAGGTAACATCAGTACCGAAGATGACAGGTAACATCAGTACCAAAGATGACAGACTTCGAAATGCCAGGTCATGGTAACATCAGTACCAAAGATGACAGACTTCGAGATGCCAGGTCATGGTAACATCAGAACCGAAAGATGACAGATTTCCAGATGCCAGGTCATAGTAACATCAGTACCAAAGATGCCAGGTAACATCAGTACCGAAGATGACAGGTAACATCAGTACCAAAGATGACAGACTTCGAAATGCCAGGTCATGGTAACATCAGTACCAAAGATGACAGACTTCGAGATGCCACGTACCATAAAGCTGTCCTGTCCTTGTCAGTAAACCGTTTGATGCAGTGTCCCAGCTGAAGGTCGAGGAGGTCAGGGGTCTCTTTCTTCTTGTGGAGCTCATCAGGGACCTCGGAAGGTACAAAAATGATGAGTGACCTCTCCAGTCCATTAACTTCCTTATACGTAGTCACAAAAAGAGTTGGGGTGCGAGACGTTTCAATTTTGTGGGCCTGGCTGCCCCTGACCACCTCAACGGGTATGCCCCGATTCCTGAGACCCGACACAAGCGGGCACTCCTGGTCCACATCGTTGGCCACAATCAACACATCAGACCATGTCAGGGCCTTGTTGTCAAACAGTTTACTTCCAAAGGACATGATGCTGGGAGTCTTCATGTGAATGGTCGAAGCATTGGAAAAGATGGTGGTCTCCCGGCCAACTCTACCACCTTTGCTGCTGGCGCCGCCAGTGTTTTTGAAAGCGTACTTATTTTTGCTGGGCTGGCTCCGAGGCTCTTTCTCCGACGAAAAGGCATCTTGTTTGACCATGCTCAGCAAGAACTTGGCCAGCTCCTCTGCACACTTGGGGCAGTCCAAGGGAAGGCCAGGCTGTGTGTGGGACTGATGGTCGATGATGTGTGGCCGCGGGCCGTCCGTGGCCAGGCCGAGATCAACGCTGCTGGTGCTGTACCAGGATAAGTTCTGAGGCATCTTGAGCTCGTCTTCCTTCAAGTTCTTCTCCTGCAAAGACAGGGACTTCCTTCCATACCTGGACATGAGTCTTTCATTTAACAAATCCGGGTCGTATTTCAGCTCTTCCTCCTCAAATTTTACAGCGCTCTTGGACGAAACAACATCTGGACCACTTTTACCACATTTATCAGGCTCTTCACAGATTGTTTTAATATTGCCTTCCCTCTCTGTTAAACATGATTTTGCCTGGGGTACTGACAAAATACTTTTCTCCTTGGCATTTTCTTTATCAGTTTCACTAAATCTGTTACTCCCCAAAGATTGTTTCTCCATTGAAAAATGTAAGGAGTTGCTCTGATAAAGCTGCTCATAAGGCTTGCTCAGCCTCACATCCTCCTCCGTGTGCTTCATGACAGTCTGGACAATGGGCGGGCACCGAAGTATCTTGTCCATCTTGCAGGCGAAGAAACGGTGGGCTGTGATGGGACGGTCGTCGGTGAAAACCCCGGCACACCAGATGTGCTGGACCTGCAGGCAGCTGAGGTGCTCTATGACCTGGTGGGCGGCTGGCGTGACCTCGTCCATGATGACACACCAGGTCGGCAGGACAGAGGCCAGGGCGTCCGACTGAAACTTCAGGGTGTCGATATTGACCATGCGAAGGTTGGTGATGGGCACGCGAAAGGGGGCAACCATCTTCTTGAGACGATCAAAGACACCGTAGGCGTAGGGAAATCCATGAATGGACCCGGGCCGAACATTCAACAGGATGACAGTTTTCCCAGAGATCAGCCATTCACGTGCTTTCAGTATGAGCAGCAGAGTCTTTCCCGAGCCCGGCGGGCCGTACAGAAACAAACGCTTGTGATTAGAGCACAAAACTTCAACCTGGTGGGGCAGGAGGACAACTTTGGCAAAACGTTTCCCGCAAAGGTCAACGGCCTCAGATATGCTTCGAACTTCAACCCGAGGGTTGCTGGGACTCCAGACTTCCACCGTTGACAAAAGTCCACAATATCTGAGGAGAAAAGTGTTGGCAGGTTTCAGTTTTGTATAATGTTGATGAAACAAATAAAATGAAGTGTCAGATTGATAGGAGATCAAGTGTCAGATTGATAGGAGATCAAGTGTCAGATTGATAGGACATCAAGTGTCAGATTGATAGGACATCAAGTGTCTGATTGATAGGACATCAAGTGTCAGATTGATAGGACATCAAGTGTCTATTATGAGATCAAATCAGCATTCATATAAAAAGTGTCAAAAGTGAAAAATATAAAACAGCAGTGGTCATTTAGAATACAAAGCTGTTTTTAAAAAATTGAAAATGTATTTACATCTTTCATGAACATTTCTAAAAACTCTTTGATAAACAGAAAAAATTGATTGAAATTATTTCAATAATTTTTCAAGCTACTATTTTATAACCTGATCAAGTTTACCCATATTGAGCAACTCCAGACAATGTATGTAAGACTACTTGGTTTACCCATATTAAGCAACTCCAGACAATGTATGTAAGACTACTTGGTTTACCCATATTAAGCAACTCCAGACAATGTATGTAAGACTACTTGGTTTACCTAGAATTAAGCAACTCCAGACAATGTATGTAAGACTACTTGGTTTAGCCATATTAAGCAACTCCTGACAATGTATGTAAGACTACTTGGTTTAGCCATATTAAGCACCTCCAGACAATGTATGTAAGACTACTTGGTTTAGCCATATTAAGCACCTCCAGACAATGTATCTAAGACTACTTGGTTTAGCCATATTAAGCAACTGCAGACAATGTATCTAAGAACACTTGGTTGATCCAAGCCTACCCTACCTGCCAATGATTTGCCTGTAGACTTTGGCTTCAATGAAATCTGCTTCTGACATGAGTGTCCCACTGACCAGCTCCCACCAGCGGGCCAGCCTGCGGGTCTTTTCCTCTGGCAGGTCCCAGATGGAGACTTTCTTGTCCGAGAGTTCATCTTGACACAGGAAGAGATCGGCTCCCAAATTGTTGGTTAGATCATTGATGCTCTAGGGAAATAAACACAAGCGGATCAACAACACTGGATACACTATAGGAACAGCTCAGCTCCCAAACTGTTGGTTAGATCAATGACGCTCTAGGGAAATAAACACAAGAGGATCAACAACAATGGATACACCATAGGAACAGCTCAGCTCCCAAACTGTTGGTTAGATCAATGACGCTCTAGGGAAATAAACACAAGAGGATCAACAACAATGGATACACCATAGGAACAGCTCAGCTCCCAAACTGTTGGTTAGATCAATGACGCTCTAGGGAAATAAACACAAGAGGATCATCAACAATGGATACACCATAGGAACAGCTCAGCTCCCAATATGTTGGTTAGATCTTCTAAGTTGCTCTAGCGAAATAAACACAAGTGGATCAACAACACTGGATTTGTATCACAGGAAGTTCCAAACTATCATGTCCAAGGTCAAGTAACCTATCACTGTTGTCACGCTCGGATAAAACTGAAGCAGACCGATTGTGTGAACGAAGCTTTGCAAAATGTGTACGCATGAATTCAAATGAAAGAAAATAAGTTTTTGTTCATGCCATACAAGGTTCATGCAGTCAATTTACCTCCATCATAAACATCAAGATACACTAGTGAAACTTGGACCATAACAAACAAAAAGGGCAGAAGACCCATTCAACACATGGGAGAGATCAATTCTCAAAGGCAGACCCAGGCTTAGATGGATGGATGATGTGGTAAAAGATCTACAGCAGCTGGGAATCCAAGCATAGAAAAGAAAAGCATCAGTTAGGTCTGAGTGGTAGGAAGTGGTGATGCAGCCCAAAGCCCTACATGGGCTGTAGTGCCACAAGGATGGATGGAAAAAATTTATGATTAGATTTGAACCAAATACATTTTTACTTGTCATTTCACCCAAGAAACATGAAGAAAATATTATCTGAATCAGGCACTGAAGACATTTTATTTCATTTATGTCCCTTGTCTAACATTTTGGTTTTAAAAAAATGATCACACCAACAATTTATATTAGTATAAAGAACTCCTTTTAGGAGACAGACCAACAGATGGAACAGAACAATTTTTTAAATGAAGCTTTTCAAGTGCAATTTCTGAATTAATAAAAATAAGAAATGGATATTTTTTCCGGCACCCAGCCCCATGTAGACAAAGCATGAAACAAAAATTTGCTCTTTAGCATTCCCCGAACCAGAGATATAAGCAAATAAGCTATAATATTAGCGCAAAAAAAGAAAAAAAGAAAAAAAAAAGAGATTTATATATAAATCAATGGCCCATAAGAAGAAAACAACTAGATGTTAAAATGAATGTATTTTATTTATTTATATATAAATTATATATATATATATATATATATATATTTAAATTGATTTGATGAGCCTGTTGCTTTGAGTACTACCCACTCCCTTAAATTAATGTAAATATATAAAAATAAATTGATTTGTCCAGGCTATTAGCTTGAATATTTCCCAACCTTCAAAAGTTTCTGGTCTTTCGCCAAAGCTTTCATGACATCGTCCCTGGTCATGTTGGGCAGGGCTATCAGTTTATGACATTTCAGTTTCATAAGGTCGGAGGTCACATGATGGATCATGGCCTCCTCCCGTTCCAGCTGTTTGATGGCCTTCCCCAAAATTTTATTTGTGGATGAGATCCTGTCCTCCTCCGAGGCATTCCAGTCTGAGAAGTTGTCCCCAATGGCCTTGATACAGACGATTATGGCTCCATAGTTCTGGGAAAAAAAATATAAGCAAGAGTGTGAGTAGAATAAATAATGAAAGGACATTAGACAAATATAATAATTATAATTCTAATTTCTCGCTCATATCCCTTATGAGCATTACAATTTTTATTAAAAAATTAATTAATCTTCCTTCTTCAAGTAAAACATTTAAAACAATGCCTGGATATTTAGGAAGTATAGGGAGTGCATATGGTGGGATGACATGGGGTGGGATGACATGGGGTGGGATGACATGGGGTGGGATGACATGGGGTGGGATGACATGGGGTGGGATGACATGGGGTGGGATGACATGGGGTGGTTGGCATTGAGATGGATAACATGACATGGGAGGACATGAGGTGGGCTTGGGTGGGTTTGATGGCATGGCACGTGTGATATGATATGAGGTGGGTGCCGATGTTTGCCTCCAGTTTCTCTTACCTTATGAAAGATCAGACAATCGTGCTCAGCTCTCATGGTCTGGCCAAATGCTCGAACCGGCCGGCTGGCCTCTCCTTTAGAAAACATCTCTTCTCTGAGCTTGTTCAGATAGTTGTTGTACTGGTACCCACAGATGATGAACATCGGCCCATAACGGTGGCTGAGAATTTCTAAAGCGCTGATGACGCGGTTCTCACCTACAAGATAAGATGGTTTTATTGATAAAATGAACGGAAATTTGTTTTGTATTGCACATCTTGTTTTCACTCTTGAAAGTCCCCATCTGAGTTTTGGTTGTTCATTAAAGTTGGTCTGTAGCAAGGCGTTCCGTGAATCATTGTGTGGTCAGCACAGCTGTTAGTTCTGGGCAATCGGTTCAAACTGATTTTTAGGCTTTTTTTTCTCTTCAAAATGGTGGATAATCATAATTTTCGTAGCCGACTTCCAATATCTGTAGCCGACTTCTTATATCTATGTCAAACTTCTAATATCTGTAGCGGACTTCCAACATCCGTTGCTTATTTCGATTATATGTAGCTAACTTACAATCTCTGTAGCCGACTTCTAATATCTGTAACTGACTTATAATATCTGTAGCCGACTTGCTCTTGGTTGGTTGTTTTAATGTTGCCTTGTTTTGAAATTCCTTCCTACAGGGTCTTCTTCTGACAATATTATATCAAATGAGATATTTGGAGGCTGTCATAACTAACATCTTCATCCAATCTTTCATAAACCAACATACCAATATTCATGATATTATTGGGCTGACACAACAAATGGAAGCAACACACAGCAACCTACTGGTGTATACTATAAGTTTCAGTGGTGTTTTTAATTTACGGTAACATTCCTAGTGTGAATCTATTAGACGTATAAAATGGTGTGTTGTGAGACACTTAGGTGAGACGTAAAGAAATGACTAAACTTAAGATATTTTTTGCTGACCTTCATCTGCTCGCGTGTCCTTTTTCATGACGTCTGCCAAAACCTCAAACTCCTTGAGTAAAGCCAGACGGGATGCACCATTCATGCTTTTCCCTTTCGTATTCAGCTGTCCCCTGGACATTCTATTCAGAGAGTTTGCTGCAGCGTTAGGAGTTTCAGATTTGTCAGTCTTCCTTGGTTCCAACGTTGATGTCTCTGATTCATCCCCCTTGGGCTGATGTTTCTCAAAAGTGTGTTCGTTGTGTGAAGAGTTCACTTTGTGTTGGGAAGGAGACGATGGGCCGACTGCCGGGGCAGAAGTAGGATTCCATGTTTTTTCAGTTGTGCTCTCACCGACGGCCGACTTGTCTGCATGCCACTTGTAAGATGCTCTGTGAGGCATGAAATCCCATTCACACAGCGGTGGAACGCCCTCATCGGATTCATGACCTGCCGACTGTATGAGTGGTTTCTCTTTGACATAGTCAGCTGGTTTCTTAAAGGACTGTATGTTGAAGTGTATGGGCGGGACTCGATAGCTTTTGGTCTCAACGTCCGGGTAGTAGCACTTGACATACTCATCCATAAACTCATCAAATGCCCTGGTCTCCCCATCAATGGTCAGTTTAAGCTGACCAAGGTCCTAAAAAAAATTAAAAATTAAAACTTTAAAAAATATACAAACACTTAACATTTCTGTAAGCAGCCATTATGAACTAATTAACTTTTCATGGCTCCCAGTTGTAAAGTACAAGACGAACAACCACCAAAGCACAACATTCAGGTGTTTCATCATAGAAACATGTTCTGTTACACGTAACTAGGTCAAGCAAATAGCCACTGCATGGCTTGAACTGTGCAAGTTTTTACCTCAGTGCTGCCTCTGTTGCTGTCATGCTGTCGGGCTGAATCAGTTATAGGGTGTATCATGGTAACATCTTTGACATACTCAACATTGGACAACCTAAAGGAAATCATACTGTAAAATTATATTTAATAATAACAATTGCTTGCATTTATACATTCCTATAATATAAGAATATATTATATTCTTATATTATACTCTTAAGTCGCGTTGTCCCCCCCTCCCCCCAAGCGTTTTTCCAAGCATTCTGTTTAGATATTAAATAACATTGTTAATTTATAAACTTATTTTACTTATTTATAATTTTATGCATAAAAAAGTTTATCGGACATTTTGAAATAAAATAATATTTAACCAATATTTCATAACAGAAGAACTAAATTCAATTTTAAATCAAGTTATAATATTTCACTTGGGATTAAAATGATTATAATCAACATTTTAAGAGGTAGACCTGCTTATTAATGATAAATTAAACACCTTGATTTTATTTAGGAATGCTGAGTTCACCAGCCATCACATGTCATAATACTAATTTAATCTTCATGCCCAACCACTGGGACAGCTCAGTCTAAGCTACCTGGGAGTTGGGAGTAGAGTTCCAACGATCAGATGGAGTTATGCAAGGAAGATGACCTACCTAGGAGACAGTAGTGCTCCAACCGCCAGATGGAGTTATTCAAGGGAGATAACCTACCTGGGAGAGAGTAGTGCTCCAACCACCAGATGGAGTTCACTGAGTTGAAGGACGGCACTGCGATGGCACATGACCTTACTTTTCATCCACTCTGTGAACTGCACCTTGTGGATAGGCGTGGACCACTCTTCCTGGAAGGGGGCAGACAGGTCATCAACATGGAGTGTGCACAAGTTGCCATAGTTCTGTTTGAAGGCCTGAATGTCAACAAGATGAATGAGGAAGAAATAGAAAGCATCAAAAGATTGAAAATTTAAGTCATTATTTTTTTCTCTAGCTACGTAGAACAGGAATGTATAGTGTAACCAAAGGCATGCTAAATAAAATTCCAGATAACTGCGTTAAATAAGATTCTTTAAAAATTGCAAGTGTGTTTGGTGCATAATATTTTTTCTTGTACTTTACTGGAAACAATCTCAATTTAAATATGATAATATAAAATGCGATGTTAAAGGAGGTGGGACATTAGAATATTAATATAATTTGGGGAAGTGAGTGAAAAAAATTGGGGGGGGGGGGGGGGGGGTGATTACATATAAGGTGCTTTACTTGAATGCATGTTTTGTCAAGCAACATGATTTGATGGGAATTTCACCATAGCCAGCATCATTGTTTGGTGGGCCATGACTAGTATTTGATGATGATTCAGCAACTTATTAGATAAAGATATCAGATTTGTTTTAGTTATAACGGGTATTCTTATTACAATTATCAACTTTGGGCTCACACTGAACGTTAAAATTTCCTGAGCAACTTTTCAAAGTTGAGACTGAGATAAAATGACCCCATGACTGTGGATTCAAGATCATGTTAACTTCTACAGTTATGGCCTGACAAAATTACCTTATCTTTGGTAATCCGCTGCAGCATGGCTTTCTTGAGATTGGGAAAAGCCAAAACCTCTCTGACCTCCGACCTCACCCCCAGAAATCTCAGCCGCTCCGATATGCCGCTCTTGCACCGCTTCATGTGTGTGGCAGACTTCATCACGGCCCGCTGAATGTACGCAAAGTCCGAGTTGCCGCTGATGATGCTGACTGTCACAATTGTCACGTCGAAAAGGTGTGACAGCAGCATAAGAGTCACTGTGCTGTGATGGCCCACCCCTGCCCTCTGATCTCTCAAGCTGGTGCAAATAAGAATACAAAATAATAAAAAATACAACACCTTTGAGCTATTTCAATCAACAAAATAAAGGCGGGAGGGGGGGGGAGGGTTGAATTTTGTTTACATTTTTAAAAAATGAACAGGAATTTCCTTTCTCCCAATGTGAACGCCATTATTACTGGTTTGTCTTTATTGTGCACTGCGTTTTAACACGAGATTTAATTAATTAAAGAACACTTTTTTATTCAAACCATCTTGTGATTTGTTTGAGGTGTGACTGTTTTACTACACATCAGCCTTATAGAGGCTAAGAAAAGGAAACAGAGTTCTAGACTCAGAAATTGTTTCTGTGGCCGTTCCGAAGGGACCTACCCCTAAACGACTATGGGCCACAAGCAGTGGGTTCCGTTGACTATAAAACTACATGTTAACATAAAGCACATGCATGCTCTTGCATCTTGATAACATATTCTTACCTTAGAGGCAGTGGGTTCTGCTGACTGTAAACCTGCATGAAGCCAGCAATTGGGTAATGGCACAACATGAACACTGGCATGCGATGCTCACTAAAAAATCTTTCAAATGAGCCAAGGACCCTCTTCTCACTTTCCATGCTCAAAACTAACAGCTTACTGGACTTGTCTGGGTGCCTGGACCTGGTGGTTGAGAGTAGGACATAGGAAATTGGGTACAGAAAAAATCATAAAATACAGCCCAGATTAGAAGCGCGCAGTATTGTCTGCCACACTCATCACATATTATTACTTGCTTACATACTAGGCCATCTACAAGAATTTTCCATTCATCTTGGTCATGGGCTTTCCTTACCAGGTGTAGCTCATACTTTGTGCGTCTTCCTCTAGCTTGCGTCTCCATTGTATTCTTTGGCATTCCTATCTTCCTTTTTCCCTGTGGGTTTCATGCTTGGGATTTTCTGGGGATGTTATCTGGAGGGTTTATGAACAGTGTGCCCCATCCACCTCCATATTTTTCTTATGATGTCTTCAGCACTAGGCTCCTGGTACATCCTTTCCAGTAAGACTTGTTGTTGGTGATTATGCTTGGCCATTTGATGATCAGGATCTTTCTAAGACAAGTGTTTATGAAGGTCTGTACTTTCTGCGCTATGCTTGCTAATTTCTAAGTTCAGGCTCCATAGAGCAGGACTGTTTTGACATTTGCATATTAGTAAGAGAGTGGATTCTTTAATACAAAACAAAAACACAGCTTTCTTTATCCTGGAGCTCAATGAAGGCTGTGAGAGGGGCGGAAACCATTTTTTGAGCGAGGACCGCATTTTTAAATATTATATCTGCTAGGAAAATATTTTGGCAGCAAGAGGCACATCTATCGCTGCTCTAGAGTTTCATGAGGCTCTGAAGCCTTGGTTTGCTGACAAACGGGTAATGTCAATTTGTGAGAAATTCCAGTAAATATTAGTGAGAAAATTCCAGTAAATATTAGGGGAATATTTCAGTAAAAATTAAAAACAAAATGAAATTGCCCTTAAAAAAAAAAAGAAACATATTAGCTAAATATAATTGTGATTTAATTTAAATATTAAGATGGCTATTTTTTTTATTAATTTTTTTTTTTTTACAGTTTGATCCATTTTTTTTAAACTTAAATAATAGAAGAATAATGCAATCTGGCATCTGTGATTTTTTTTATCCATGAATATTGTTACCTTTTGACAGGAGGCAAGCAGTAGGGCTCGTTCCCTAGGTGTGGACAGAAAGATTCAATGAAATCGTAGGCAATTTCTCTGACATAAGACATGCCGCCATCAGACATTTTTGATTGTTGATCATTCATACCTGAGACCTGTAAGAACAAAAAAATCAAAAGAAATGTTTAATAGATTTCAACACCCAGCAAAGCCCCTGAAATAAAGTTGAAAAAAAAAAAAGGGTTATTTAAAGAATCTTTTGTAGTCATGAAGAAAAGTGTAACATCTCTTAACCTGGCAGATGTAAAGATGACACACTTTATCAATATTAAAGATAGGGTATCTCAATTCACAGTCATACTACATAAACCAAGACAGAACACCAACTAGTCCCCTGTGCAAACTCCGAGTGAGGCAATATTACATCACCTCTTGTACTGCCTAGCAATGTTCCCTTTAAGCTATCTCACAGATGCCGTGCAGCAGTTTTGAGAACCGCGAAGCAAATTTTCATGTAAGTGAGTGTTTGTGCTTGGGGGCTGTAAAATTTTGCACACAAAAAAATTGATGCTGTAAAACTTTGCACACAGCTGTATGATTTTGCACACGAACCAACAAACCTTAGAGGGAACATTGCTGCCTAGCACTCCAGGACATACCATAATTATATACAATTGCCAGGCTACAGAAACACACTATTCACAGAGGGAGACCAATTGAGTAAGACCTGCACAGTTTATAACAGACAGAGACCAATTGAGTAAGACCTGCGCAGTTTATAACAGACAGAGACCAATTGAGTAAGACCTGCACAGTTTATAACAGACAGAGACCAATTGAGTAAGACCTCCACAGTTTATAACAGACAGAGACCAATTGAGTAAGACCTGCACAGTGTATAACAGACAGAGACCAATTGAGTAAGACCTGCACAGTTTATAACAGACAGAGACCAACTGAGTAAGACCTGCACAGTTTATAAAGCGTTTAGTGCCAAAGGACATATCCCCAAAACAGTTTGGCCATGGTTTCATGGCCGTTAGTGTTTGAGCACAACAGAAGATTCAGGAGTTTGATATGTCGACGGGCTGATGGAGTCGGTTGTAGCACCAGAGGCACCTCCGGAGCCCAAACCGGAAATCCGTGTCTCCGTAGAAGGGGGATAACAGACTGGCCAGATTCCACCTTGTCCATTGTTTGGTGCCCATCACTGCATTCACTGAGGCTTGGCGGGTGTCTGCATGCAAAACATTAATACAGCTGGCCGGGCAGAACTTGGTGACTTGCCCTGGGTTTCAAATGCAAGAGTTTTGGCTGTGATAGGCCAGATAGAAAATGTTGGAGTTGGCCACACCACGGAGGTTGGAACTTCTACCTAGAATGCACTACCCATGCCCAGCCTGATGATTTTTACCGGCCTATTTGTACGAAGAGTAGCCGAAATTACGTGGGGGTGCTCTGAGCCAGGCATAAAATGAGGCAGCAAAATTAGTTTGCAGGTTGGTCTCTGGTCTTGGGCTTCACTAACTTAGATGATTTCAAATAGCTTTGAAAAATGATCAAGATCACAAATTTCAATTTTGGAGTTTTAACCTGCCCTTAAATCTTAAGTAAAAACATATTTGCTGCTGTAAATAAAGAGTAAACATTTTTTATTTCTTAATAATTTTTTTTGAACTTGTAAATTAAACATATTTTGAATGAAGCCAAACTTTTAGAGACTAGTGAAAGCAGCAAATCAAAATTTCAATTAAAAAGCTTACTTGTGAGTGGTTCAGTACTCTGTAATTGGTAAGGTTGGGAGACTCTGGGTTCAACCCGTTACTGTAGGGGTCAGATGATATCATGTTGTTATGGGCTGTTGTCCAAGTGCTCGGCTGATCATGAGGATATGGTGGAGTCATGCTGAACTTCTCATTAATGGTGGAATCGACATTTGTGTATCTGTTGTCAGGGTTGTAATTCACGTGTCCATTTTGGAGAGATATCCCGCCGACACCCCCAAACTGGTCATTGACATCACTGGAATGTGCTGAAAGAGAGCTGCAGCTCCCGCTTTGTGAAACTGGTTGAATGTAGTTGCAAGGGGTTTCCAAGAAAACATATGGGGCATATGTGCGTGAGACTAAGCCAACTGGTTGAGAAAGGCCATTGTTCGTATAATAGTGAACCTGATTGGGTGGAGTAGACATGAGATGTGGTGGAGCTGGAGTGTATGCGAAGTTCTCCAGTGACAAAGGTGGTGAGGTGATGTAGGCCAGTTCAACGCTGGGGCTCTGCGGGGCCACGTGATGCACACAGCTGAGCGGGGAATCAACATAATGCATTCCTGAAGAAATCTCATTGTGCGGAGAAACGACAGGCAACCAAACAACGTGATTGTTCCGTTGGTGGTACGGCCTGTGATACATGGCCCTGGACATATTGTCTCGTGGCTTGGGCACCATCATTGAAGAGTTGTTGTACATGGGCACCTGTGTTTTGGGAAAGAAATTCCCCAGCTTTGCATCTGTTGATGTGTAAGCTGGGGGTAAACCTCCGCGACCCATGATTTCCTGATCTCTGGAGGAAAAGAAAATCTTAAATTAGAAGGTTCTATAGACAGAGAACTCTTACTACAAGCACTAAGGCATGCGACTCCTAAATAAATTTACTGTATTTTCCGCGTATAAGATGACTTTTTAACCCATGAAAATGTTTTCAAAAGTCGAGGGGTCGTCTTATACGCGGGGGGGAATGTCATCTTATAAACTTTATAAACTGGTATATGGCGTGCGGAAACTCCAGGGACAGGCGCCCTCTAGTTCCAGTTTGGTTGATAGCTTAGGAAACAAACACCATAGCAGCTCCCCTGGGTTTATTGTCTTATCCTTCCTTTCAGCTTTAGAGTGAATTAGGAAAAGTTTAATCCACTTCCACTGTTTTATGTTTACATGTTTGATGACAAACAGCCTTATGTTTATAAGTGACAGTTTTCCTGCTAAGTACGTGCATCACATAAGCTTTTGAATTAAAATTACCATATTTATTTATTTATTTATTGAGGCATTTTTATATAGTGCTTACCTTAAAGCTCTAAGCGCTTTACAATTATTAAAAACATGTAAACTAACTAAAATAAAAATGAGACATTAGGATAATAACTACTATACTATAGAAACAATTAAAATGGCTATAAAACAAGGACACTTTGGCACGTTTTGGCCTATACTACAGAAAATGAGGCAGGGCAAGGAGGGTGCATCACAGGTCATAGGCGGACCTAAACAGATGGGTTTTAAGGGACCTTTTAAAAGTGGACGAGGTTTCACAATGACGGATATGGAAGGGGAGCTGGTTCCAGAACGTGGGCCCAAGGAAATCAAATGTGATGTTTATTAATTTTTATTTGGTGTGCATTGGAAGAGGGGTAGTCTTATACAGTGAGTATAGCACAAACCCTATGGAAACATGGCGGAAAATATGGTAAATATCAAGAAAATATTTATTGCTTTAAATGAAGCATTCTTTTGCTTGGCTTAGTTAAAGGATTCATTTGACATGACAACTAATTTATTTTTAAGCCTGACTCAATTTTTTTATTTTTTAAAACATTATGTTGGCTAAATCATTTCCATTAAATAGTAGTAACTTCATTGATTAGTTTTTCATTCTTGGTGATTCCTAGCAAAATGTCTATTTGGGAAGCAGACTATGCAGACAAAAAAAACTTTCACATTTTAAAAAAATCAAATATCTTTAATTAATAGTTTAATATTGGTCACCAAGAATTTTAAAGAAAAATTATTTGCAAAATGTATTGAAAAAATAATGAACATCACAGCTAGATCACCACTAGCTTAGAGTTACCTCAGTTACTCAAAGTCCCTTTGCATGGTTTTTTCCAAGTTATGGTGGAAACAGAGCTTGCTGGAATGCACATCTCTCGTTCATAACTGAAATTTAAAAAAACACAAAAAAAAACATAATATTTTTCAGTTTGAAATTTCTCTAGCTAAAGTAGGCCAATTTCAAATCAACAGGAAATATATGATCAAAACATATATCATCATTCACTCAAAAGATAATTTATTTTTTTAAGGCAATCAAAACATGATTTGAGGAAGTTAAAATATGTGGCCAGGCCTGACCTGCAAACCAGAGATTATTTAAAATACTCTTCCATATCTAGGAATCAGCATATACTTTGGTGAAGATAAAACATGTATGAAAAGACTTATGGCACCTGTTCATATATATTTAATTTTAAAATGACAACCAAAAGAAACATTTAACTACAAGAAAATTTGATGAAATAACTATTGACTATTACAATATCCTCTTTTCCCCCTCCCCCTCATGAACATTACGGGAATTCCCATATGAGCTTAGTTATAGTTATAGAATTTAGATTTAACAGACATTGGATTCTATTTATAAGTCAAAACGAAAAGGACAAACTTAATTCAATAGGTTTATTGCAATTCAGAAAATCATTAAAAAAAAAGTATATACTTTGAAAAAATTATCTTTAATGTGCCAAACAGAGGAAAAGCGGTTTAATGTAGAGCTAAAGGAAATGGACAGGATTGAACTGTGATTAAGCATAATAAAAAAACACACAACTATCTCAATCTGTACAGGGTAAAGCGTGAATGAAGTACTAAGATAGTGATAGTATGATATTTTTGGATAAAGAGGGGGGGGGGGGGCAAAATCTGAAAATCATTATATTTTCCTCATAAATTTTTTTTGGCGTGCTCTTGGCATACATTACTGCATTATCTAGAAAATATTTGAAACAAGGTTAAGGGAAAGCCTGAAAAAGAAGGACACAACAAAACAATGAACATGTCGGCAAGATGCCTACTTCAGCAAACAATACAAATAAAGAGTAGAAAATATAAAAATGTTAAATAAACACTTAGCTAGTGGGAGGACATTAAGAGGAATATAGTAGACCATTAGTAGGTAAGAGAGTTAATAGAGGCAAAGAGGGAAGGAAGATAGGAAAAAATAAGGCCACAGTGATTTTTTTGTAAAAAAGGAGGGGGATAAAAGATTCAACAAGTGAAGGAGAACATGATATTCATGCCATGTGGTGTCAATGATATCTAGAATCCTATTGTGGTTATCTTGGATATTGAGCTCAGAATTTGAACATTTTTGGTAGGAGTTTCAAAACATCTTTACCCTCTGCATAAGTTTTTAAAAAGTCCCAAAAAGGCAGCACCAACACTCTCCCTGCCAACATTAACCTGAGTATGTTTTAAACTTAAAGAAGAAAGAGCACTAACTTATTCAAAAACAAATTATTAAATGATACTTTTGTATACTAAACTCCCCATCCCAAACCTCCTTTAAAAAAATCAGTTCTTATAGCACTAAACGTGATGAAACGTCGGCACTCTAATCACACTATGTCACCAATCTTTTGAAATCTTGACATGTGAATAACATATAAATATTCACGCAGAATAAAATGTACAAAGCTTATGTTAAAAAATGTTCATATAGTTTTATTTTAATGCCTGAATCCGATTCCTTTTCATAGGCCACGACTGGGTATTCTAACAGGGGTAATACTTGACATTTCCGGGTATCTAGGTCAGCACCCAGTTCAGCCCTAATAATTAATGGCACTGTCTCTTAGGTCCAAGCCCATGAGTTTCTGAATATATATCCATGAATGAGGACAGGGCATATATGGCCAAACCTATTTTTATAATATAATTAGACCTGTGTTCAGCAGCATAAAATTATGTACAACTTTAGACTTCTAAAAATTACAAACTGTTATAAGCCTAGGCAGATGTAATAGGATTTTTTATATGATCAAAATTCAATGATTAATATGGAGTTTAACTTCCATGGCACTAAAATACAATATTACAGGCGTACACAATTGATACAAATCACAATTTTTAAATATTTGAATATTAGATTTTTTAATGCAGTTGATATTATTTAAATGAATTTGTAAATTTTAAATAGGATATTTAAAAGTTAAATCAGGTTTCTTGATTTAAATAGATAATTTCCTTTTTTTTTTAAAGGTTTTAATTAGATTTTGAAGTATGTTAAAAATAAAATAAGATAAAAAAATGTTTTAAAATCTTTTAATTTTAACTAATAATTTTATTTGTTCTGTGAATGTTTTTATGATTCTATTTTGTAAGCGTATTTTAGTTAGGATTTAGAATATTTGTTGGTCATGAGTTGTGAGTGAATAGTATTTTTGATGGATAACTGTGGTACATTCAAGTTTGAATGTCAATAAAAATGTCAGAATATTTATAATTTATATGTTTGGAGGACGATTCAATGATATTTAGCAGTGGTCTGGTAGGTTATACTATATTATGGGTGTGGTTATTTATAGTCTCAATTAATAGATTCATAATTATAATTTTGATACATTCTTTTTTTTTTTTTTTTGAATTGCTAGCGGTAGTAAACCATTTATTATGATTTATCCTCTCGGAAACTCGGAATAAAGCTGAGCATTATACAGTCGGCTTGGAATAACACGTTATTCTATTTGACTAAATCCTTTGAAACAATCTACACTTCAGTTATGTCAGTTATGCAGCATAACCTATCCAAAGTCTAAACATTAACACGAGTCATGAGTGACATGACAAGTAGGCCCTATTTGATTTTTAAAAAAAATTATTTGATGCTTTAAAACTTTAATTTCACTTTAAACTTTAGTTTAGACTTAGACAAGTTACTTGCTGTCTCATTTTACTATTTTTAATTTTAGTCAGTGTTCACTGCTTCTGATTGTTTACTGAACTGATGTGTTTAGATAAGATAAGGCTAAAATTATATGTAATAATAAAACTTAAAAACTGTTAACAATTTAAAGACTCAGCTGTGTTACTTACTGTTAGTTCGTTAGTGGACTTTGGAAGTGACACTCTTGAACATCGCAATAAATAATGACAATTATTTAGTCCTTTATTCTATTTCGATTGTAATACTGCTAAAATTACTTATTTACCTTAATATTATGAGTAATTACATCTACTGATATTTATTTTAAGATGACTTACTAATTACTTCCATGACAAGTTGACATAAAAAGTTTGCGATCTTGAGTTGCAAAGGGACTTTACTATAAATATAGATATGATCAATTCCCATCTTTTCCGCTTCCGGTCACGTACCTTGAACTTAAGAAATAATTTCTTTGTACAATGTCAACGCTAGGGTATGGCAAAAAGTGCGGGGGCCCCACGCGTTTCCGTTGTATATTTATAGTATACCTAAGCCTACTAATAGTTCTAATCCAGTCAACAATAGTCGTAGTTATTAGATCAGTGGTTACCCTTAACCTTTTTGGAGGTACCGAACCCCAACAGTTTCATATGCGCATTCACTGAACCCTTCTTAATAGGAAAAATAAAATATGATTTTTTTTTCTGATTTTTTTTGGACCTCCAACGAACCCATGAGATGGACTCACCGAACCCCCAGGGTTCGA